TGGTAGGGATGAAATATTATTTAGAGATTATAAACAGTATAAGTATAGTTAATAGAAAGACAACCCTCAAAACTCTACAGAATGATCTTTGTAATTTTAAAAGTCATGAGGCATGGGACAAAGTCTACAAAACTTGATGACAAGTTTAATGTTGGATATCCCTGAATGGCAAAATGGCAAGAAATTCCTTTGTCTCACTTCTTTACCTGTTATTTCTTTTTCCAGAATAAATCTTCCATTTACTTAATTTTTAAAGTTAAAGGGTGACTTTCCTCCCCTCAGCCATCAGCCAAGTTGCTCCAAACACCTCTAACCATAATCGTGTGTGCCTGATACAGGTCTTGAAACCGACATAGAAGGATCTTCAATGATAGCTTCAAAATATAAACAAACTACACTTTGACTCCCTAACAAAAAGAAACATCAGCAATAAGAACCCTAAAGAAAAGAAATATAAAAACTAAATGCCTACAAATTCTAAAGGGTTCTATCCTTGCCACACGCTACCAATCTTCTAATGAGTAATGTCTATCTTTGACAGTGTTATCTGAGCATGTCCGGAAGGTGTACCAGAAGCCCAAGCCTCTCTTGCTCCAAGGAACAAGAGATACTAAATACATACTTCTGTTTTTAATGACTTTTCTGTTTTTATTATTTTTACTCACTTCATTATCTTAATAAATTTAATAATCTGAGACTTAAGGTTAAAATAAATATGTATTTCCTAGCAATATAATACTATTAACCTTGGCTGTTTCTTAGCCACAAGGTGGCAGGGATTTCCATGTTAAATTCTGAGAGACAGCCTTATTGAAGAATCAGCCTTCTCAAAAGTGGGATCTATAGAGTGTTAAGTAACAAAAAGAAGCAGCCACAAAAGCTTTTAAACTAGGTCCCAAACTCCTGAGGATCAGTGGCCAGTCATGATCTGAAATGAAGTACACAGAGCAAGAAGAGAGTATAGTCAACAGCAATAATAATGTTGGAAAATGCATAATAGCCGCTAACTTTGGAGTTCTTGCTTGGTATTATGATAAGTGTTTTTGGAAGCACTATGTTAGGTTCTCTCAACAGCCTCATGAGTTAAGAAGTGTAATTATTCCCACTTTACAGAGGGGTGTGAACTAAAACAGACTAACCTGACCCGAGTCACAGCTGGGAAAGCAGTGGCTCAGGGTCCATTCCACAGAACGGACTCTGCAATGTATCCTCTTACCCTTCACGTCCTACCCACACCTGCGCAAGCACATCCCAGTCACACAGCCTCCAAGTCACCGGCGCTGAGGGAGGAAAAGAAGGCAACTGAGAATGTCAACTCAGCCCTAGTCACTTGAAGAGATGAGCTTTGAATGGGCTGCCAGGGAAAGGGCACGGAAAACCATACCATGTGAATTCAGGCAGCAGATAGCTGCACGGGGCCCAGGGAGCAGGCGTGCAGGGTTCAGGGGGCACGTCCTGGCGGGACCAGACTCCCAGCCCAAAGCACCTCACGCTGCTCTGCAGGCAGCCAGAACCAGGGGGGTGGACAGGAGCTACTATTTCCTTGGTGCCCATGTGCCAGGCCATTTGATAATACTGTTTTTCTATAACTATGTGCCTATATGAGTGGATGTGTCTGTTTCCTTTCAGCGCTCAGTTTGTAGCTGGGAGAAGGGAAGCTCAGAACGGTCAAGGTTACCGTCAGAGGCCACCCACGCTTTCTCCACTCCGTGCAGTGCCTCATGAATAAAATTAATTATCCTTATGAAATGAGAATGTCTTCCACATCTTTTTTTTTAAACTTATTAGAAAACTTTCATAGAAAATCATGACACTGTACCACAAGACTGACTTTTCTATTCTTTAAATCTATTAACTTTCTCAGAATTACTTCCTAATTTCCTTTGATCTTTGGAATTTTTGAGGGAGAGAAAACCCAATATTCTTATAAGGAAACTCGACTTGGGCAGGAATTAAAATCAGGTAATCCCTCTCTAAATACTCTTTCATCACCAGAAGGCACATCTTTGAGGACAGGGATTTTTGTCTTTATTCATTGGCAACCTTTGGTCATTAATTGTTGCTGATTAAATGATAACTATTAGAATAAGAGAAATAAAGACCATTTCCCTCATTAAAATACCCAATTTAGCCCTGGCCAGCAAGGGTGGGTTGGTTGGGCATTGTCCTGCAAAGCAGAAGGTCACAGGTTCAATTCCTGGTCAGGGCACATGCATGGGTTGTGGGCCTGGTCCCCGCTTGCGGTGTGTGCTAGAGGCAACTGATGGTGTTTCTCCCCCCTCTTTCTCCCTCCCTTCCCCTCTCTCTAAAAATAAATAAATAAAATCTTTTTATTTTAAATGCCCAATTTATCTGTATAGGTTACTTTGTTACCAAAATTACAAATTCCTAACAGTCTTTTCCTTTCTCCTTGGTATCAACAGAATGCTACCAATCTCTAACAACAGTTTTAGAACTAAAATGTCTCCACATTCACTTTGCTGTCAGGTTAGAATTATTTTCGGCAGTAATTCGGCCTTGACTAACCGGTCTTCGCTTCCTGTGTGTGTGTGTGCTCTCAGTGCTTGGAATGGAGGAGGTGCTAAGTGTCAACGAATTTCCTACTCAAGTTCAAAGCGATGATGGTTATGTCTCCAACATGCATTCTCCCATATGACTAAATAACTGCTACACTAAGCACTTCCCCCCACCTTCACTAGCTATCCTTACATAAGTTTTCAAACAAGACAACTAGGACAGGCCCCTGACAATCTCCAAATATCCTTGCGTCTATCATGTTATCCCCTATTTTCCATCCAACAGAGTTGGATCTACCAATTATTTATTGTAAAATGTAGACCTTTGTGGAGCCTGAGGCATGTGAGACAGGTGGAGCGGCTGTGTGCTCACTGCCCTCACGCTCACGCTCCCGTCTACTTGGGGCACAATGTGTGAAAATGTTCCATTCTTTCCTCTTACAGAATATGGTTGATGAATAAAGTTTGCAAAAATCAGTTTTACAATGTATTCCACAATTTCTAAGATGTCAAAAAACTTCATATAAACTGTTGATTTAAACAAAATAAGTGAAAGACACAAAGAGAAGAAAAATTAGAATATTTTTAAACATCTTTAAAGTCTCATTAAAATGTTATGAATGAATCTCAGAGGTCTCACTCAATTTTTAGGGGAAAAAAGGAATTGACAAGATTAGACACTACTTTTCACCCACGAGATCAGCCAAGTTCAATAAAGCCCATATTAGGGAAAGCACAGAGCAATGTGCACTCACCTGGTATGGACAGAAATTTAGTTCAAATTCTATGAAAGATAACTTGCCAATAACTAATAAAAATTTTTAAAAAGGCACAAGTATCTTGATTCAGCAGATCTACTTGTAGGAATTTAACCAACAGCTACACTCACACATGTGCACAATGCCATGTGCAAAAAGAGATCCGCTACCACAGTGACTGCCCATTGCTGCGCCACCAGGATTTTTACAACATGCAACCCCTGACTATTTAGTCAGGGGCACTGACCTCTTTTCCCTTAGGTTGTCAAATACAATAATGACAACAGGTATGATACAATACAATATACAGCCATCTGTATACAATACAATAATAGCCATCTGGTATGAATGAATCAAAATTATACCTATTTTTTTGTCAGCAAAAAATATATTTTTTGGTGTGCTGCAGAATTCTAGTAATTAGTTTATGTGTGCCATGAGATGAAAAATATTGATAATTGCTGCACTGTAGCGTTGTTCATAACTGCAAGAGACTCAGAAAAAGCTAAACAGCCAATTTGGATCTAAGTCATTCTATATCCACACAATCAAATTCTATTAAAAATAGATTTCTATGTACAAAACACTCAAAGGTTATGGTATCACTTGTGTAAAAAGGAGGTCTCTCTCCCCTCTCTTCTCTCTCTCTCCTCCCTCTCTCTCTCCTCCCTCTCTCCCTCGTCTTACATATAGTTATCTCCAAGAAAGTTGGGGAACAATACTGGGAGGAAGGTACCATTAAAATTTTGAACCATGTAAATATCACCAACTTAAAAGATAAAGTTCCATTTGTGTGCTATAAGTCTCCCCGCCGCCCCCCCTCCCCCACCTTCGCAGCCATCTCTCTCCTTTCACAGTTCCTCCAGGACCAGGTACTGCCTTTGGTAAACTGGCCCAGTTCCCACTCTGCAGCTGATTTCACCATTTCCCTTTCGGGCTCAGGGTCAGCCAGCACGGTCCTTCCTTTCCCTTTTCTCAGCCAGAGAGCAGATGGGCTGCTCCTGCCTGCGCGGTGCCTGGACGTGATCAGGCCTCCACGGGATGCTCACACTCAGCACTGCACTGCCGAGCACCGTGCGCGCCATTGCTCTGTGTTTGCAATCTGAGCAGGAATGTCAAAGCCACATCGGTGGGGTTCTCATTCTCTCTCTCTCTAGTGCTCAGTCTGTTCATTAGATCACTCCCAAGCCTCAGGAATTACCTTTTCCTAAGGGAGGTTTTTTGATCTGTAAAGTTGTACCCCCTCATTGCATTGAAATATATTTTTTCCATTAATCTAAAAGCAAATTACATTGATTCAATGTCTGTACACTCCTAAATGACCATGGTAATGATTAGAAAAATCAGGGAGCAAAAAAACATTTAACACTCTTGTTAGCTTGACACATGATCATCTTACCGGCTTTGGATAAACCAGCAATTTAGCATACCAATAAGAAAAAAAAAATCTTTGTGTAATTTAATGATACCAGATCTACAGCTTTTTGCAAATAGGAAGTAATTCAGTTTCATACCATATCAAGCTATAATTGTCATTAAAGATATATTGAAAAGGTAATAAAACTTTAACCAATGCAAATTCTTATTATGCATTCAATTGTTAAAGATTTGCAGGGTCAAACATTGCAAAATAAAGGTTTTTCCTGCTATCGGCTAGCCCAAAATATAAGTACTATACTTAACTAGTTATTGTAAATAGATAAGAAAAAAGTTCCAAACTGCTTACTGTCTAGCTTGGTCCTTACTGGAATAGGTTACATTTACGACTGCAGTTTCCGAGTCAGTGTTCACTAGAGGGAGAGAAAAAGGAAGAGGGAAAAAAAAGTTAGTTTTCTTTTTACTTCGCTCCTTTCACAAAATTGAAAGCAATTGAGAAGACATGTACCTTGCTCACAGCTTTCCACCACTCCATACTGGACTAGTAAACTATCCAGCACCTATCAGGAGGGGGAGAGAAAATTACAGATTTTCAGTTTCCCAAGTTATTAACAAGGGCAGAAATATGTTTGAAAATCACAAAGAACTGTGATGAAAGAGAGCCAAAAAAATTTTTTTTCCTGGGGTTTTGTGCTCTGGTAGTGAGGGAAGGGCACCAGAGAGAGCATCCAGTGAGTGGGCATCTCTCCACTCCTACGCATGGTCCCCAACTTCCAGCTCATTGCTTGTGGATTGCCAAGGAGTAAGGCAGCTCAGCCAAGTGTTCAGAGCCACAGCTGCCTGCTTCCTGAGGCTGGAGGGGAAGCAAGCATCTATTTCCCATACATACTCCAACACATCATCGTACTTCCTCCTTGTAGACAAAGTCACAAGACAAGAGCCCGAGTTAAGTTTCATCTTTAAGATGTTGCTTTTCAAAGAACTTCCTTTTATAGATATAATGGGTATACCAGAACAGACTACCCTCAAGGGAGGCTTGCAAAATGAATAAAGAGCATCACAGATAATCTACCTGGAATCTTTAACTAAAGACTAAGCTAAGTGGTATATCAATACTTAGACAGTAAAAAGTATAAAAAAAGAAGTGAATGTTTCTAAATCAATATAGGTTACAGAATGTACAGTTTTAAACTGTCTCCATTTTTACCATCTTTCCTGTAACCACATTCTTATACTGTGTGTGTTATTCTACGGAGCCGTTAAAATAGTAACTAAATTTTATTATACTATAAACTGCAGGTGTACGCCTCATTGGTATAAACCAAATCCAACTATCCTTAGCTTACAATAAGTATAAGAAGCTTTTTTTGAAAAGTAAAACAAAATAAGTTTCTATTAATTTAGAGTGAACCAATTATTCATTAATTTAATTGCATAATTTAAAGGACAGTCCCTTGAGAATATTTTCTGGCCCCCAGAACACAGAAAACCATTAAGAAATACACAGACTTCCTGTCAAGATGGCAGTGTAGGCAGACATGGCTTGCCTCTTTGCACAACTACAACAAAATTACAACTAAAATACAGAATAACCATCACTCAGAACCGAAAGAAATTGAGTTACATGGAAGTCTGACAACTACAGAACTAAAGAAAACATCCATTCAGACTGGTAGGAGGGGCAAAGACTCAGAGTGGGCTGGTCCCACATCCCTGTGTGGTGGATAAAAATTTAGGAAGGATATCTCGGGAGTGAGGAGTCCCACCCCACACCAGGAACCCCAGCCCAGGGTCCCCGTGCCAGGAAGATAAGCCCCACAACTTCTGGCTGCAAAACCCAGTGGACACTGAGTCAGTGGAAGAAACTTTTAGAGCCCCAAGCAGTTTCTGTTAAAAAACCCACACATGGACTCACCTACTCAGACTCACTCCCTCTGGGCTCCGGCAATGGGGTGGCAGCCTGAGGGGCACCAGAGACACACAGAGGGAGGGCGAGGTGTCTGGCATCAAGACGAGAAGAGGCCATTGTCCATCTTCTGGCCCCTCCACCCACAGATCGGGCAGACTGGTACCTTATCTAAGATTCCGTCAACCTGGCTAACACTGTTTGACCTGCTTTGGAGATCCCCCAGAGACTCTGCCTGCCCCACCCCCGATTTATAGGCCCACCCAAGCTGCTTTTCCATATGAACAGCTTTGGTTCTTGCTTCACAACTTACTAAATCCTCTTAAACAAGCAGCAGCTGGCTTCAGTGAATTCCAGACCCAACACTAGCAGCCTAGACTCATAGCTTGGCTTTACATGGAAATCTCCAAGCCCGTCCTCAGTAGCAGCCATGTCGGATTGCTTTATAACTCAGACAAGGTGGCCCCAGGCAAAACACAGGTAGGGGCTGACCTTGGCCTGAACCATCCAGGCAACCCCACGGGCCAGCACACCCAGTGGACAGCTACAGGCCACCTTGGAGTACCACCAACATGTCCCTGCACAGCTGATCCTCCACGGAGGGTGGAAGTTGGTGATCAGTGGTCACAGCCAGCCCTTGCAGCTGACTGACCTGGGTAAATCCCTCCCATTGATCTGCCATCAGCAACCAAGGCTCAACTACAAGAGGAGGGTATAGTCAGCCCACACAAAGGGTGCATCTTGAGTACCCAGCTTGGGTGATAGCAGAGGCTGTGCCACTGGACCCTACAGGACACCTACTACAATAGGCCACGCTACCAAGACATGGAGTCAAAGCAACTCTATCTAATTCATAGAAACAAATGCAGGGAGGCTGCCAAAATGAGGAGACAAAGAAACATGGCCCAAATGAAAGAACAGATCAAAACTCCAGAAAAAGAGCTAAATGAAATGGAGATAAGCAATCTCTCAGATGCAGAGTTCAAAACACTGGTTATACGGATGCTCAAGGAACTCAGTGAGGACCTTAACAACATAAAAAAGATCCAGTCAGAAATGAAGGATACACCAATTGAAATAAAGAACAATTTACAGGGAAACAACAGTAGAGTGGATGAAGCCAAAAATCAAATCAATGATCTGGAACATACCAACCAATCAGAACAAGAAGAAGAAAAGAGAATCCAAAAAAACAAAGTTAGTGTAAGCTGCCTATGGGACAACTTTAAGCCACCCAACATTTGCATCATAGGGGTGCCACAGGAGAAGAGAAAAAGCAAAAAATTGGAGAGCAACTTGAAAAAATAATGAAAGAAATCTCCCTTACTTTGGTGAAGGAAATAGACATGCAAGTTCAGGAAGCACAGAGAGTCCCAAACAAGATGGACACAAAGAGGCCCACTCCAACACACATCATAATTAAAATGTCAGGGGTTAAAGAAAAAGACATGAGAGGCTGAGTGTGGGAGAATGGGTGAGAGGTGAGGGGATTAAAAAGTACAAATAGGTAGTTACAGAATAGCCATGGGGATGCACAGTACAGTATAGGAAAGGGAGTAGCCAAAGAACTTAGAAGCATGACCCACATGACCCATGAATGTGAACAAGGGTGGGGGCATTGCCTGAGAGAATGGGGGGTGCTGGGTGGAGGGGGTAAAGGGAGAAAAATCAGGACAACTCTAATAGCATAATCAATAAAATATAATTTAAAAAAAAGAAATACACTAAATATTTACAGTAATTTTCTACTAAACTTTAAGCAATTTCTTGTGAAGGAATATCAATCTTATGTGGTATCTTTCAGGATTTTAATTTGTCTACAGACTCCAATTTGAAATACATAGTAAGGTTCATCTGGAAATGAGCTTTTATTTATTTATTTTTTCATTTTAAATAAGGTTAGTACCTATTTGTGAATGGAATAGTTACATTTTTTCATAGTGAAGATTTGGCATGGTGAATTTCCTTTGAGTGGGACCTATTAATAGAAGCACACTAATCTTTGTCTCTAATTATAGCTACTGTTAAATCATAAAGCTTAATTTTTAATTCAGAGCACTTAACTAACTATACATATAATTTCATTTGTCTGGCTCAGCCACTAGAATGAACAATGCATGTGAACGGGAATTTTTTGTTCCGTGTATTATCCCTAGCACCTAGAATGTACAAGCACAAAAAGACATTTAACCAGTTCATAAGTGAATTTTCTCAGGAAGAAATTCTAGTAAAGCTTCTTATGAATGGTACTCTTTTTAATAGTTTCAGAGGTGAATTTGATACACAGGCAATGTTGATCACAGACATTTTATAAAGACAAAAAAAATAGGAAACCTCTTATAATGCCATCTAAAGAGGTAATGTGCAACATGCAATGCCTGAAAATCTTAAAAAATAATAAAACCTACTTATGTTTTTAAAACAAAAGTTTTTCAATACCAGAAATGTTTTATATGTAGCCTAACAGAATTCTAACAAGGTATTTTAATTCATTCCATCTCAAGTAACAAGCAGCAGGAAAGGTGTATCTACCATTTAAAACTTAACTTTTAAATGAAAGCCACTTTAAGGCAACTTGGGTATCTAGACAGGCAGGGGTGTGGAGGGGCGTGGAGCTGGAGGGGAGAGGGGGTAGGGAGTGGGATGGGGCTAACTGCCAGTGTAATATGTTAATTTCAATAAACATCATTCTCACTTCTTCCTAAAAGTAGTTTGTTCAGTAATTAAATACATTACTTTCCACATAGTTTAGCTTATTATCTCCTTAACTTTTGCTACTATAGAGAAAACATTACAAAGTTAAATGCCCATAATTTATAAATAATGTTGACTAAACCTGCAGAAATAATTCTAATGAAACTAATGTTCTCTAAAAGGCCCTCCGGCAAAGTGCCATAAATTATATACACATTTATTTTATATATGCACACACAAATATACATGTAAATTTATATGTATATTTATATGTACATATAAATTTACATGTATATATAAATACACACACAGAGGCATATAAATAAATACAAGAAAAATTTTAACTTAAAAATTGAGGAAATGTACATAAAATTTTCACTGCATATAATGCATAAAGTTTAATATGTTCAAAACAAAATTGCTGGTAAACATTCTATTCCTAAGTAATAAGAAAATGCTACTGATTATCAACTATCCTGTGTGTAAAATCTCTGGAAAAATAGTTAGAAACTACAATCCTATGCACTGAAAATGGTGAATTTTATTGTATGTAAATTATATTTCAATAAACCTGACTTTAAAACATAAAAGCAAACTATAATTCTTAAAAGAAAAATAGGTCCGCCATCAATCTTGGTGCCTAGCTGAGGACAAGTTAACCAGACAACCTGTGGGTTTTTACCCAGACACAGGGATGGATTGCAGTGGGTCTCTGAGGTCTTCACTCCAAGTTTTATGCACAAGTTTTGGGGGTAATCACAACTGAGAGATGGGGGAAAGACTGCCCATATAGCCAAATCGGTTCCACAAATCCCAGAAGGGTTTCCAACTCCCACGCGACTGAGCCATGCTAAGTAACCAGTTTTCCTTTAACCTACTGGGAAGGCATCTGTGTCTAAATGCGCTTGCACAGCAGGCCTACCAAGCTGCACCCTGCCACTCCTACCCACTGACCTCTCC